CTGTGAACAGCATTCCCAAGTGCTGTTTTTCTTAATTCCTTGTTTGCTGTGGATAAGCTGAATGTCTCCGTTAGGCTGAAATGAGCCCATCTGTTCAGGTGGGAAACTGCAGCATAGAGCAGTGTATTTTGAAGAATACCCTGTCACAAATAGGACCCTTAAGCCCTGGTGGGRAGAGGTACTAGCTAGAGTGAAAGGCCTCCCCTCTGAAAGAAAATGACATATCCACATCTCAAAGTATTTCAGTTAACTAAAGCTATTCTGTTAACTGTGTCTCATGGCAAGCAGTTTCCACTGACCTTTTTTCTGAGCAGCRTGAGCCACTTAGGTGTAATTTAGAGCTAACCTTAATAGGGCAAATGACATAACTGTATGTATAAACCTATGTCAGAGGTATACATCTAAGTATCATATTCTGTACAAGCATGTTACAACTGTATGCAAAGGTTAAAGACAAGTTATATTCTGGYTTATGTTAACCATGTGTCTGCTTTCCTACCCTCAAGCAGGTCTATTCTGAAGTCAGGCTGACAGGCCTGTARTTCCCAGGATCTTCCATTGGACCCTTGTAGATGGTAATATTGTTGGCCAATCTCCAGTTGTCTGGAAGCTGTTGAGCAGGATGGCTGACTGTTGATGGAGAGGGGCTTGGCCAGTGCTTCTGCCAGTTCCCTTGACTCTGGGTGGATCCCATTTGGCCCCATAGACCTGAGGTGATCCAAGTGGAGTAGTTCTCTTCTGCTCTCTATAGATTCTTCCATCTTATGGGAGGGCAAGTACCTTGAGGATAACTTTGTCTTGCACTTGAATGTGGAGATCAGAAGCGATTAACAACCTCAGTCTTATCCTGGGTGACAATATTTCCTGCTGTGCTCACTAGAGGGAGATTCTTCTTGGCCCTTCTCTTGTTTATGTATTTGTAGGAACATTTTTTGTTGCCTTGTTTGTTTTGACCATTTTCCATGCTGTCTTCTATRCTTTAGAATCTAAATATCTTAGATGAAAATCTCATCTCAAATCCTTGCTTAGGCTAAGCCAGGACCTGCTGTATTATATTCATTTTTGTAACTTGCCTAGCCGTTTTGCTTGAACTGTATGCTGGTGCCACTGAATCCCTACTGTGACAYAGACATCAGACTGCCTTGATCCTGCCCCAGTCACTCCTGTGATTTCTTCCTTTTCTGCTCCAGGCCCTTGGCCAAAAGAAGGGGCATTTGTGTTGTGTCTAAAKGGAAAATAACTAACTTAAACAGGCATGTTACTGCAGCATGCCTGGCCAGGCAGAGAAGAGGCCCCCTGCGACAACAAGCTATGGGGCTGGCAGCAGCCTCAGGCTGTTCATTAATTGCTAATCTCTCTCCTTGCTGCCTGAGGGCTAGATGGTGAGAGGACTGRTTGCCTCTCTAGTGACAGTGTCCCTCAAGCTGTGGCAGCACTGGCATCCCCTGCCATTCCCTCCAAGCAAACTATCTGCCTGTGGAATTGGCAGTTTTGTGTCCACTAGATATAGAAAAGATGTTTTTTCTTCCCTGCCTCTTGAACTGGTTGTGCTCGAGCACTTGGGCCCTGTGCAAAGCATAAGAACTTGTGTAAGATAATTAGGAAAGCTCTGTGCTCCTGTTGCTAGTGGTGAAACTGTCTCACTGTTTAGAAGACCTGCTGGCATCAAATGAACACTCTTTACATCTTTAGTACCTCTATTTATGACTTTTCCTGAAACATGTTTTTTAAAAAGGCAAGTGAATGCAGAGAGCACAGGATTGGTTTGTCAGGGAGACTGACGCTACTGTTGTGATTTTCATTATTGCCTTTGTCACTGGTACTATTAAAGCAAACTGACTCTAAGTTTGAAGTCCTGTTTAAGGATTACTTTTCATGAACACGTTGGAATTGTTGATCTTTGGAGAATGGAAAACCCARGTAAATGCTTATATCAGGAAAGTGCAAATCCCATTCCTTAGGCCATCTTGCTGCTGTGCTAGTGTTCTGCACTATATACACCATGCTTCAAGCAAGCTTGCTGGCAACCTCTATTTACAGCTTGAGTCACCAGCCCCTGCTAACTGCATGGTAATACAAAACAAAATGAGGGTGTGAGGCATTCAGGTCTCTTGATATGTTTTAGCACCCTGTCCTGTGATAGAGTTTGTCTCGGATGATTCTAGACCTCAAAGCTGAACTGGGCTTGGCAATTCCTTAAATACTTAAGTACAGAATCAATTCAGATTGATAGAGCATTTCACTGCAATGCAGGAAGTCTGGTTCTTCAACTAAGATGATGTGATTTGAGTTCCTGCCTCCTTGCAACTTGCTGTGCTTGCACCCTTGAATATGTTCTTGACAATTCCTTGCTTGTGCTGGGACATGCAAGTTGGGAGCAACAAATGAGGAAGCTGCAGTGTTGTAGCTACCCAGCTGTGCTGGCTTTGTAGGAAGAAATTCAGCTTTGTCTAGTTGGTATCTGGCTTAATTGACAACTTAGCCACATGGGTAAAAAGAAATTTCTGACGGAGGTCAAAGTAGGGCTGCTTGGTATGAAACTGCCATGCAGCAAAGGAGGATTGAAGCGTGGAGAGGCTGAGAGCCGTGTGGAAGATGGCAAAGGGTGACCCAAGACAGCGTCAACCATGAAGAGACCAAGTGACCCTTGAGCAGCACAGACCAGCATGCACAGATGAACAGCCCTGTGCACAGCAACACCTCCTGGGATGTATTTGGCTGCTTCTGAAGTGGAGACAACCTAATCTGGAAGCTAGGTAACCCTCCTGGATCACAGGGGTTTTGATTTCAATGTTTGGTTGGAATAGTATGTGATGCTGAGTCACCTCTCTTGCTGGGATGAGAGAAGCACCATAAGAAAGAGGAGACTGAGTGATAGCTAAGGAATTGGGAGCTTCAGCTGAGGGGAAAATCTTTGAAGAGAAGGAATCACAGCAAAAGCTTGAGAGTGAGTGAAAATAAGCTGGGAAAGAAGTCTGGGCTGGTGAATAATCAAGTAATCAATTAGATGTTGGGAAGAATGGGAGAGGATGCAGCAAAAATAGAGAAGACATTCCAAGGCTTGGATTCACATCACTGGAGCTATATATATTGATATCAATGTATGTATTTGTTAGTGATAATGAGGCAGCTCTGGAAGACAGGGAATGACCTGCAGTGAGTCATCTGTCACTGCAGCGTGGTTGTGATTGGCATGGATTTGTCTGGAACATGGAAGGGAAAAGAGATATGTGGGCTCTATTTCTATTACTGCTTTATATGCACAGCATGACTTAGTTCCCTATGATGCTGACTGTCTGYGTGTGTATAAAAGCAAGCTGAGGTTAGTGCTTCCTTATCTTGTAGTAGGTAAGATCYAGCCCAAGCTTCTGAGTCCTCGTTATGTTACCTGTAACTTCTTAAGCTCTGTTATAGGAGGCTTTAGAAGTTACTTGTTTTCTGAATTGCTTTGTAATTTTGAGGCCAGGTCTTGGTTGACCCTCATGGATTTAGCTGCTCTCTTGGCTGACCAGATAAACAGAGGGGGCTGTTTTAAATCAGTTCAGAAGTGTTCATCTGTGGCTTTGGCCCTAGCTAAACTGGAATTGTCTTTGAAACTGCTTTTAWTTAAACAGAGGCAACTTGAGAGAGCAGTCTTGAAAAAGCAAGATGCTAATCTGAAAGGGAAAAGCTGGAAAAGGGGGRCCTTCTCTCTTGGATGGGCACTCTCTCCTAATGTCAGCACTTTGACATATCCAGTGCTATTAAGTCAGTCCAATTTAACATGACCTTTTCCTACTTGCATGGCAATAAAAATGCACACTTTATTTTGACCTATACTGTTTGTGCTGCTTGCTTGGACAGCCTACTGAAACAGCCAACTTGAGTCAAGTTTAAGCCTGAAGCTGCTGTTAGTACCTTATTATGATCTACCTTATCCCAAACAGCTGTYCAGTCAAGGAGGCTTTGTTCTCTTGTTGATGTCCATCTTGTAGGCTTCTAATGCATGGTCCATGAAAACAACAGAAATCCTTGCTTATATCTCACATAAAATGCCCTCTGTACAGGTGTTTTATAGCAGCAGAAGTTTTTAAAGGGAGTTGGGAAGCTGAGGAGAGGTTGAAAAAAGCAACTTGCCTGAGATGCTGTGAGGCTTGGGCTTAGTGTTGCTGTCCAGTGTTGGGCATGCATGAAGGGGCATCTTATTGCACCAAGTGGAGGCAGTACCACAGGGGCAGGACTTGCCTGTGGCCAGAGAGAGTCCATAAGGAGCTTGGTGCTGGATTTCGAGCAGCTGCTATGCAGAAGGGGAGTCACTTGCTCTCAAAACTTCTTGTACTTATTAGAAAAGTGTTTGCTTCAGGGCATTGCTTGCAAATGCAGTCTCTTTATCCAGCTGCATGGCCAGACATTATTCAATAACTCTTGAGTAGAAAAGGTAGGATACAGCTGCATGCGAGCCATATGTTATTCTCTTACAACAGCGTGTGTGTCCTTGAAACACAAGCTGCAGTGCTGCTAGTGTTTAGAAATAGTCTGCATGCACATGGATGTTGAGAAGGGGAAGAGAAAGCAGTGTTGCCTTGAAACTGTAACCTTGGTTGCAAACAACAGAGCTAAATCTCAGTCTTGGGCTCCATCTGTTATCTCTCTCCTCCCCCGTGATTCTCACACTGTTGCCATCCTTGTCACAATCTGCTTTTCCTAGAGCAAGGAGCCAGGGATGCTGTCCAGGTTATTTATAGACRACTGCAGCAAGGGGCCCAGTGCAATTTTTGGCTCTTAAGTTCACTATTTTTTAGCCCTGTATTTGATTTTTGGTAGCCAAATGGCTTGCAGAAGATGAGTGGACAGTGACACTGTAGCAATTTGTCAAGCATAAGTCTTAACTGAGCCTGTGTTCAGGGAGCCATCGGGTATTATTTCTCTGAATTCCCTTATAGTGAGATCAAGACGGAGGGGCTGAGCTGGCTGCTCATACCTTSATTAGATAACTAGAAATATTCTTTTGATTTTTTCAGCCCATGCCAGGACTGTGGATTATACTGCAATGAGCCAGCAGTAGTTCAAAAAGTTGTCAGTAAGGAAACTGTTSAAGTGCCGCAGCTGCCCTTGGAAAGCCCAAAACAAAGAAATGAAGACCTAGGGGGTGAGTATTTTCAGCACTTAATGGCAGCCCTAAAGGACGGGTGAGGAAGGAGCCAGGTAACATTTAGCTGAAAGCAGCTCAACTTCCACTTGCATTAAAATTCTTGTCTGCATGCAAATGACAGCCTGCCCCTTGAAAATTTGTGCTATCSTCAGGTCATAAGATAAATTATTCAAAAGCTTTTTTCCCCCTCACACTGATTCAGTACTYGTAACTTGCTTGTAAATGAATGACATCTTCCTTTCTGCCTGAGTGACTTGATAGGAATGGGAAAAAATAAGTGGGGGGTGAGAGGAATTGCAATGCCATGACTGTATTGTGCACGTCAGAAGCTGCAGCAGGATTCGCATCCTGGCAGTAAGGCTGGATAGTGGGGATGTGGAGGCASAGTTGATGCTCGGCTGGAGTGCTGTGCTGTTCTGTCTCATGTCCTGCAGCCTGTGTGTGGGGAAAGGCCTGAATCTTGGTGGGATCCAAGCGGAGCAGCCCAACCCACGTCGCCAGGGTCTTGCTGTTTAGCCCAGGGTGCTGCTCCACGGAGCGCTCCYGTGTGCAGGGCAGGCGGGACCCTCMGGCACCAGCCYGAGCRCCTTGATCCTGTGGTGACATCTGGTCCCTTGGTGGTTTCCCAAGGCAGGCTCTTCCGCGGATGGTCTGTCGATGCCTTGGGCTCTGTYGTGTGGTTAGGTTGCTGACGGCTTCCTCGGCTCCGTGGTTGTGCTGGTGGGGAATGGATGCTGTCTTCCGCTTGGGAAGAATCGGTTGGCGAGGAAATGCATCAGGTCGCTCTTAAATGTGCTCTTACGGAGGCCCTCATTGCTCTCTTAAATGATTTTGGTAGTACCTTATATTTCTTTTTGGACTGTGCTTTTTTTAGACAAGCTGTTTGAATGTTAAAAACAAAGGCGTGAAAGCAATGAGTGCTGTACTTGTTGCTGAGTAGTGCTGGAGTTTAAAGCTCCCTTCAGGGAATTATGTAAAGCTGTGGGGAAAGGTGGACTGCCTGTCCATCCAGCTCCTGAACTTGTTCTGCTAGCTTCAATGCAAAAACTTAGTCTTGGCTGTTGAATGTCTCTGAAGTACACAGGATACCTGCGAGCCTGAAAAATGAAGCAGGAAAATCAAGCTATGGACAGGAAGGAAGCTTTGTTCAAAGAAAACACTCTGCTTCAAAGAAATACTCAATTTTCTCGGAAGAAAATACACTCCTGCAGGGCAGGATGTGTTAATTTATCAGGTCACTTGGACAAAAAGACTAACCTGAAAGGTAGGGTGGGATTGTGCTTGACAAGATTTTTATCATGAGTTCAAAGACTTTTGCTCCCTTGCAGATTTAACCTAGGGACCTGAAGGACTACAAGCCTTTTACTCCTAGGAAATTATCCTCAGTTGAGGGTAACCCCCCTTGTACCACAACCGCAGGTCAGCTGAGAGCTTGTCAGAAATATTCCTGAAATAATGTTGGAAGCTGCTCCGTGCGGAAGGCTGAGCTCAAGGTGGGTGAGTGCAGGAACCAAACGTTATCCCTCCACTGTTGTAATGTACAAAGAAATTGGTGCAGTGCCTCTAYGTGGGGTTTTATTTTACTTTGGCCCTAGGCAGTTATTTCTTTTTTTTTTCCCTATCTTTCTCTCTGAGTGTCAAAGGGGCCTGAAGAGTTTTAGATGGGAAACCTGCTCTTACAGCAGGGGGAGTAAATTGTCAAGGCAAAACTTGCTGCGTTGGGTGAGGTCAGCAATCTAATATTAAGTGAGTAATGGTGATGCTTAGGGATGTGCATTTTGGTGAATCCCAGTTATTTGCTTAAGCAGAGATGAGAGATGATGCTGTTGGAAAAAGGGAACATGATGGCCGTCTGATYTGGGATTCAGAAATGAGTTTCTGATCCTGGACAACTGTAAATCAGTTGGTAATGTAAGTGCATGTTTGTTTGYCCTTTTCAGTGAAATGCTGGTTTATCCAGCTGCATAACCTGCAGAGTATTTCTCCACTGGAAGTATCTTGYATAGAATGTTTCTTCTTTGTTGACTGAGTCAGCTAGGAAAAAGGGAGAAATCTCAACTTTTTCATTCCATCTCATGCACTGAGATGATTGCRTCAATGCAATCTCATCCATCTTTATTCTTTTTTTACTGTTACCGTGCATACCAAGTTATACTGACATTAGAGATTTGTCTCCTTAGCCCTTGAAGTGTTTAACTTGTAGGGTGTGAAGCAAAAACCTGTTTGTTCCCCAGACCACTGAGGCAAGATCACAATTCTTAGCAGTCACTGTTCTATTCATGTTATTTAATATTTTGTACTTCAGTAAACGTGTACTAGTTCTGGCTGACATTGGGCAGGTTTTCCAAACGTACAGTTGGGAAAAAGGAGACTTTGGTCTCGATGAGGATGGTAGCAAAGGCTGGTTTTTAGTTGCATTTAGCTTAGCAAACTTAGTTTAGGGCAGAAATTCTCCTTACTAGGTGTCCAAGTTGTCATAATCTCTGCATTTTCGAACTCTATTTAACTTTGCATCTTTATATGTTAGACTTTAAGAGTGTCTTGTACAACAGTTCATGGGTTTTGGGGCTCTCAGATGTTCTCTCATACCTTACCTGTTGTAAAAATGGCAGTTTTTCATGTGGTTATTTCAGCTTATTTGACAATCCTGAAGGGTCAAAAGTAGGAAGAATAGGATATGGGTTGTGTCCTCTAGATAGCTTGACAAATCCCTGCTGTTTTMATGATCACTGTACAGGCTCTGTGGGCGGCTGAACTCCTGGGATTGGGAGGGTTAGGAATCCTGTTTTGATGAGGTCCTTTTTCAGTATGCACTATTGATCTAGGTGATAGAAACTGTCAAGGTAAGTGGTAGTGCACTGTGCCAGGAAACCCTCATCTCTTAGGTCATGTGCCAATGCTTCTCTGACAAACATGAAAAAACATTAGTAGTTGGCTTGACGTCGCTATCCGGTTGTGGAGGGAGTTGCTGCTGGTGGCGCTGGGGCGTTGGCTTCCTACTTGATCTTCCAAGGAAGTGAGGTGGCTTTTCAGATGCCAGAATATCAGCTAAGCCAAAGGAAAGATGATGTGAAATAGGCCAAGACATGGGAAAGCCCTGGACAAGTGATTAACTTGGCTAGAGGGGGCAAGCCTCTATCTGCTGCCTGGTAGGAGCTCAGGAAGAAGGGTTTGAGAAATGGGCAATTTGGTAAGATGGTATAATGCTCAGGACTAAACCTGAGGCTCTGATTTCTGTCTCAGGGTTAAGTGTTTTGCATGCTTGGCCCCTGTTTAGCCGAGTGCTGAAGCTGTGGGCTACCTTTCCTTAGTAGCCTCAGCGCACTGTTGATGTGGTTTAAACCTGAGCTTCTTGGACCATGGGCTTTATGACAGGAAGGGAGCATGAAACTCAGCCTCAACACGCAGCTGATGGGCCAGATCTTGAAGTACAGCCTGGAGGGAAGCTACTCTTTTCAAGTGGGATGCCTCTGGATCTACTTTCCTGCCCAATTCCTCATCACCTGTGTTTGTCCTTGCAGGAATAACCCCCCAACCCTCAGTGCTCTTCTCTTGGTCCCTGTGCTTCGGAGAGTCCTTTGCCCTAAGGGATAAAGGGGAAAAGACCCTTTTTCTTTTGCAATGGCACAGCAAGAGGAGAGACCTCTCRGACGTATCTCCTGTGAAACCTGGAGCAGACTTGACTGGCTTTGTTCCCAGTTGGTTTCGGGTATGTTGAGAGGGTGTTTATCAGTTACTAGAGTTTCAACAGGATGCAACCTGTTGTGYGGTGTTAATGGGAGGTTAAGCAGTTAACAGCCCATCTGCCTCGAGCAGGTGCAGATCTATTTAGGCTAGGCATAATGTGCAGAACAGATTGCTGGTAGAGGCCCAACAGCTCAGTGGCCAGGCCAACTGCAGGAAGAGCGTGGACTTGCGCAGGACTAGGAAAATGCTGTCCTGTTTTGCCCTTTCCAGATGTACCCGGAAACTAAGGAGAGCAAAATGCTTGCAGCTTTGCCCTCTTCTGTATTCCAGCAGCCCAGCTCTTGTCTTTCAAGTTGATGAGAAATGATTACTGCTCTATTTCTGAAACTGCCACATCTGCATGGCCAAATGCTAATCTGCATTTGATGCTGTCAGGGGGAGAGGAAAGGCAGGAGAGGGGGAGAAAGTGAGAAAGTGTAGCTGAGAATTTGATGTAGGAGAGCTGGGGAAATATTAGACTGGAATTATCCAGAGAAAGGTGTCGGATCAAGACTAGTCAAATGATCCAACTGGGATAGTTCAGTTGGATCTGGTGTCCTCAAGAGAAAGGCAAAACTGGTAGAAATGACTGCATTGCTGCAAACCCAGGAGTGACTGGATGGGATGCAGGTGACCTCAGTGAAAGGAGAGGACGGTCTGGGGACAGGGAGGGAATATCACCATGTGGTAGTACATCTCTTACCCATTTCACTGACTTTGGGATGGAGTCTGTTTCAGAGCATTATTCTCCTGTATAAGTGGGGTACAGTGGTGGCAAATTGGCTGCTGTGCTTTTTCAGAGGCAAAGCTAAGTGTTTCTGTGCTGTATTTGAGTTGGAAAATGGGCCATTTTTGAACTATCTACTCATATACCTACTTTACTCAGAAAGCATACCTTAGAGTGTGCTTTGACCACAGTTTAACCACTGTGGAAGCTATCTGATTTTTCCAAATCTTTTGAAATGCATACATTTCCAAGCAGAAGTCCTGATTTTCCACAGCCCTTTTGTTGGCTTTGTTTGGAAACTACCTGGGATGAAGCATCTGCCTGCCTTGCACGAATCACACCCCTTCAAGGAGACTGCACAAGTGCCCCAGAAAGAGGCATTGAGTAGTCCTGAATACACAGAGGTTGGCCCTGCAAAACTCTGGATTCAAAAAAAACTCTTAAACTTGRCAGTGGATGTATGCAGAGGAGCTCACATGTGTGGTAAGAGATTTTTGTCCCTTTCTCATCTCCTTGTGGAGAAAGAGCTAAAAAAGAC